CCTGCAGATTTTCCAGCTTTCATCTATTATGCCCCCATACAATTATACTTTTCAACTACCAATAAACACCGTGGAATTAAACTCCCTCAGAGAAGTCAATATCACTTGGCCAGACAAAATTGTCGGAAAACAGACTGAAATTATTTCCCAGAAAACTTATTTCCTTGTGTTTCACAGCAAATCCCTCCCCCCCCCAAATAACAGATTCCTCAGCTACTACAGGTTGGGGTCTCTGATTTCTTCCTGGACTTGAATCAAATTGTGTCTCTTGCCCTAAAAAAAAGGTTTCTCAGTTCAACACCACATCCCTTTAACTGTGCTTGAGTGACATGTGGGGGTTATCAGAGTGGGCGCTAAATGTCAGGCTCTTCCCTCAATTTAAGCAGCTGTAAAGGATGGAGAACTTGCACCACAGAACTACAGAGAATGTGGAGGTTAAAGTTTAAAAATAAGTATTTGCTTTACCTTCTTGCCTTCATCTGATCCCTGTTGTACCTCTCAGAGTCTAGGCTGGTATTTTAACTTAAAGAGCTTCACTTTCTGGAGAAATGCAACAGAGAAGAAAATCTTAAAACCTGGACCTTCTTCCTTAGATGAAAGCAAGCCCCCCTTGCAAGCCTTTCTCATTTTGAGTTAACCCACCAATTTTCTATCTATTAAAAACTGACAGGCACAAAACCAGCCAAAGAGGGCAGCATCCCCCTCAGATGTCCAAGCCATGCTGCTTACTCCTGCTCCTGTATTCATTTCCCGTTCTAATCAGCAATTAAAAAGCAGACCAATTAGCTGACTATTTTTCCTTCCTTTCCAGCCATGCCAGAGATGGAATTGGCAAAAGTCCTGGGCCGAGAGGAATAGAAAAATCTCACAAGAGGTTGTCTGTGTCTCAAGTCTTGATTTGTTCCTTTCCTTCCCACTAACTGCCAGCGTACAGCAGATAAGCAGCAAATATGAAGGTTGCCAGGGGAGGACAACACAGCTTGATGAATAAACACTTATCCTCCAGCTTCAGAAGCTTGTGACTTCAATTTCAAGACGAACATGGATTTATTTCACATTCACATATTTTGCAGTTCTGCCCAGCAACCAGGAGTACGTAGGAACAAGCACTCCTCTGCACCCAGTTTATTTTGGTCCGTACGGGTAGGGCCCAACCCACAAATAAGCACACAAAGAGGATTTTTGTCTCCGATCTTAGCAGCCTTAGGAATTACGATACTTCCTTATACACCCAGAAACTTGACTGGATAAACACAAATGTGATCAACAAGCACCCAAAGCCATAAGTCCACAGAAGAGCGCGAAGCCACTGACAGGCCTCGAACAGGAGCTTTGCTCCTGGTGGGACTACGGTCACTCACGCAGAGTGCATTCGTTCTCCTTACAATTAAAAGGCATCTCATGGTGCCACACACTACTTTTTTATTCAAATAAGATTAAAAAATGCCTCAAAGTACTTGGTTTTTTTCCTGAACAAATAATTTATAGATCTGATTTGAAAACACAAGTACTTCTGCTTGGCGTAACTAGGGAAGTACCCAAAAGAATTTTAGTAAAGGCTAGCGTGGGAAATTTCAAAGAATGTATATGGGAAAAGCGTTAACTTTTGCTTCAGGTATTTTGTTTTACCCTCCTCACCCCAATTTCAGAGTTCATATTGTCAGGTTTTCTCGTTCTGCTTTCTCTGCCATCCACAGCCTCCCAGTAAGGAGAAAAGGGGGGCAGGGTATATTTTCCACAACGTCCTCTGTGTAGAAAACAACATAACCATTAAAACCCAGAGAGCGAGTTTCACCACCTCTCATCTACTCATAGAGCAGCACGGAGTGACAATAGGCAGGCAACTTCTGGCGCCCCAAAAAGAAATATTCTAAAACCAGAAAACTAAACCTCTTATTCACAGTTGTTTCAGTTCAACTTGTAAAATTCAAAGTGATTATTAAAATATTTCTATCAGAATATTTCTCATATGTCAGTATATTTCGCATATTCATACATAAATATAATTTTAACCAGGAGGAGTTCTGGCTACGGGTTGTACTTGGAAACTTGGCCATTAGAGGAAGCCCACCTACCTCAACCGTGCTACCTGGCTTTCAGGGAGCCTCCGTGCAGGATAACGCCTCCAGCACCCCATCCACCTCAACCCTCCCTTTCCAGATAAGCCCTTCTGATGGGAAATAGCAAATTACCTTGGTCGGGGAGCTGAATCATCGTGGGTGTTTTGGTTTGGACCTCTGTGCTCCTATCAGTTGCGGTACCACTCCCTGTGCTAGGGTGGCCACGTAGTCCAACAAAACCACGGCTTCAATTTGTTTTCAGCCCAAGACACAAAACGCCTACTTGGACACCCATCTGTGTTTCCACAAAACATTACCCCCCAGAAAACCCCACTCCTGATGAGTCTGGTTTTCTTGGGAGCCAGGATGGAAATCAAGGCAGTACAGGTCAGTAGCGCACCCCTTTCCATAGAATCATAGAATGTTTTGGGTGGGAAGGGACCCCCAGAGCCCATCCAGCCCAACCCCCCTGCAGGAGCAGGGACACCGCTAACCACATCAGGTTGCTCACAGCCCCGGCCAACCTGGCCTGGAATGTCCCCAGGGATGGGGCCTCCACTACCTCTCTGGGCAACCCCTGCCAGGGTTTCACCACCCTCATTGGAAAGAGTTTCTTCCTTAGATCTAGTCTAAACCTACCCTGTTTTAGTTTAAAACCATCCCCCCTTGTCCTGACACAGCTGGCCCTACTAAAAAGATTTTCCTCATCTTTCCTATGGGCCCCCTTTAGGTACTGAAAGGCCGTAATCAGGTGTCCCTGCAGGCTTCTTTTCTCCAGGCTGAACAACCCCAACTCTCTCAGCCTGGCCTCCTTTTCCCCAAGATTTCACCCGCGTGCCATGAGTCAGCAGGGACTCACATTAGCTGCATCGCGGAAGAAGGTATCTGCCAACACGAAAGTGAAAAGCAAACCTTTAGCAAGCCCTTCAAGTATCCCAGGCTGCACAAGACCTGGAGGTGATGATGAACACGTTTGAGAGGAGAGCTAAGGGCCTGCCAGGGAAAGGCAATGCCACAGGTTCACTCTCAGCGAGATGCGTGGCCCCTGGCAGGGTTAGGTTTGCTCCCACCTACCCATCACTCCCTCTGGTTCTTTAGGCATGGAGTCAAAATAAAGCCCACAATCACACCGTGAAGCCAGGCAGGGTACATGGAGGAGGCCCCGTCCGCATGGAGGTCAAGAGAGGTCTCCAAAGGCTTTCTGGAACAAAAAGCAGCCATATCTAATGGGTCCTGTGCTTAGCCCAACCTTTTATTCCAAGATATTACAGTATTGGTTTTCTTGCCACGGGGAGGTTGAGGCTAAAAAAAGGTGGTTTTTTTATAAAAAAAAAAAAAAAAGCAGCCCAACAAAACCCACCCAACCCTTGCTGAAAGGCACAAGGTACAAGTCATGAATTTAACAAGAAAACTCTCCTGCTCACACTGTAGGCCAACAAACCTCCCCCACCTCCCCGCAGACACTTGCATAAGAGTTGGAAGAAATATTTTACAGGTTCTTCAGGACTGAAGTCCAGCTACAGGACATTACCCTGCAGGGAGCAGAGTAGCATTTTCCTGCCTAAAATGGTCCTGAACAGCAACTCTCTACCTGCTGGGTGACCCTCCTCATCTCCCCGAATGAAAGGCGTGAGGAGCGCCCTGTTTCCATGAGCTGCAGGTAGCGGGGGTCACGTTGCACCATGCATTGTACAGAGCCAGGATAAGCGTTCAGTGAAAAGATTTCAGGTTTTTTTAAGTATCAGCTGGTCTGCGATTTTATCTGTTCAGCTATTGTGTTCGGAGGAACCCGCAGCCAGGCATGGGCCATAAGAGCAGGTGCTTAACAGATACAGGTTTATCCTGTTCTCCTACTTCTTGCCACCCTGCCCCCTATAAATTACTAACACTTTACTAAAATACCGAGGGCAGAAGGTGAACAATAGTCTGTGGGCTCCAACCCGCTGGCAGCCGATAGAAATGTTATCAGGTGCTTACCAGCACATGTTACGTCCTTCCCTCAGCCCCACCAGGGGACCCCACCTCCCTCTTTGGCTGTTTTTGGCACCAGTCACCCCTCAGGCCCCCCTTCCTCCTCCACTACTCCTCTGTTGTGGGGCTGGAGGAAACTGTAGGGATCAGCTACCCTTACTCAAATCACGATAGCACCCATCCTTCCCTCCTGTGCCGATGCATCTCCCCACTTTCCCAGCTCATTCCTCAGCAAGTTTCTCCCAGTTGCCCAAACACTAAAAGTTCAGTCTCTTCGCCCTCAGGCTGAGGTTGTCCCAATTTCTCTACCGTGTGTATCACCGAGGCACAATTTGCCTCCATTAAGGTAAGTAATTATCCATTTTCCGAGGTGTTTTAAAGGAAAGCAGTGGAGGTGAAGGACTGCAAATACTTCTAAGACTGCAAAATGGTAAGCACTGCTGCTAGACAGCTCGTGAAAATTCATAAACAGCTACTCAGATGTTTTAATAGCTCTGGCATAAGATTCAGATAACAGCCACAAACCCCCACTTTATTTTATTATAGCACTGATCAACTCTAACACTTCCCACCTCAATGCATCTTTAAAAACAGCCCCCTAAAAAAAAAAAAAAAAAAACCACCACCACCGGCCCTAGAATAAACTTTTATCTTTCCACAGCTGTCCAAAATTCTCACTGAATAATACTGTGCTGTAACTAATGGAAGACCAGATGCTGTTGAACCGACGGCATCAATGCTCCATACAAGTTCAGGCATCTGCTTGCATAAACCAACTTGCTTTATCAGCTCCTTACCTGGGAGCTCTTTGGGCCAGTCTCATCGGTCAGGGGCATTACAAGCGCAGGGAGTTGTAAAAAGAAATCTCATCTCTTGACTGCCACTCTCCTCATAACAGAGAGGATAAATTGTAAAATTTTTATTGCAAAATATTAAAATAAATTACATTTTACAAAGACTTAGCAAATATTTACATACAGTGTGATTCCAGTGACAATCAGCAACAACGGACAGACAGACAGGCATATTATGGAGTGATAGGAGTCAGAACTGTACAAACTTCAGAAGCCGTATGAAAGACAAGCTAAATTTTTAAAACGTAAATCCATCACAAATGGAATGAATCCCATGAGGCACAAAAATTACAAGTCCACTAACAGTTCTTGGGGTGGGTTTTTTAGGTCAACAAACCTGTATATTGCTTTTTGCTCTCCTCATCAGTGATGCTTGTCTGTCTCTACACATACTCTCCCAGATCAACTGGAGTAAAAAAAAAAAAATCTCAATATATACAACTGTGTCACCATGGATCTGTTACCAGTCTATGGTTTATTTTATTTACGCATGCTTTGTGACATCCGTTGCCAGCAACAGATTCACAAGTCATTAGTTCAGAAAAATTTAAACACACCACTTTTTGTATTTCCTCGGTGATTTCGTACCAGTGTATCAGATATGTTAGACTGCCTGCTGTGAGATAGTTATCTTAAGATGATGCCCTTCTGGTAAAAAATAGGCTTTAATAGCGCAAGAGAAAACCAACAAGTGTCACATGTCATGAAGGATGTGGTCACATAGTCTACAGCACTTAAAAGGGCTTTTGTAGGAACAGACTTTTGTTGTCACATTTTAGGATTTTTAAAATTATTATTTTTTTATTTTTTTAAAGTATTGGCTCATCTTGGCAAAATTAGCAAGTTTGTATTGTGACAGAGGACCCATGCTTCACGTGATGTGGCTAGAAACACAATCTAGTTGTGGGCAGTAGCTAGAAAGCAGAGTTTCCACTTGATTCCATCCCTTCCTTATATGTGTGTTTAAGACTTTAAAAAAAAAAAAAAAAAAAAAGGGGGAAAAAACCAAAAAGCCCCTCTCCTTTCTTTCCAGGAAGAGATTTGTCTTGCCTACGAAACTACTTCCATACCATGAAGAGAGCTGTTAACATTATTGGTTAGCCAAATGAAATCTTACATGGCATCCAAAGAAAGTGTTTCCAGATTGACCAGATAGTTGAAATAACTATGAGACCTTTACCAGGTAGCACTGGGGAATTCACTCAGAGGCACTTTTGGGGCTGAAAAGCTCAAAATCCAGCCTGGACACCCTTCTAATTCATTAGGTCTAAATCTGAAGGCAAAAAGACATTAATTTAGATCGCCCCGGCAGCTGCTTTTCTCAAGACTTGGAAGACAGGCAGGCAAAAAGCTGTCTTGCTTAGCACTTCGGCAGTTCTGAGATGGCACCATAATTTTAAAAACCCTGGGAAATTGTTCGACTTTTTGGAGAGAGCCAGTATGAAAGCTAAGTGCCAACTAAACCCCTCCAAAACACTGAAAATAAGTAGGGCTTAACGAGACCAATTGCGTTGGCCCCTGTGTGAAGAGGAATTTTTTTCCCAGCGTTAGGGTTACATTAAGGCACACGGTGGGATGTCTTGAGAAAAGTTTTGTGAGGTGTGATCATGTTTCCCAAAAAAGCGGGAATATTGTACTTTGTTTTAATAAATTTAAACTCTTACTTTAAATCCCATGATACTTATTACGCAGACTTCTAGTTTATGCTGACTACACTGGGAAAGGCCAGAGAGCCACATCTAACTTGATAATATGAAACAGATCCCATCCATTCTCAGCTCTGGCGTACAAGTGGACTTCGCTACAGAGAACGGAGGGTTTGGGTTCCAGTGTGCAACATCCCCTCCCAATCAAAGCAGCCCAGCCAAGCGTCTGGGTTGTATTATTTCTGTATTAAAGAGAAATTTATCTTTTTTAACACGAAGATTGGACTATGCTTTTCCATTTCACGCACTTTCAGCCAGCCTATTCTCTCCTCACTATCCTGTAGCTTTCTAACTGTCACTAAAACTTTGATCTCTGCATCAGTAACGGAAGACAAGTTGGAGGACAACAAAAGCTATATGGAGTGCTTTCTCATTTTCTTTTAAGCTAATGTGCACTTTTTTAAACAAAGAAAAAAAGAAAGGCAGCTAGACTTGCTGTGCAAGCATCCTGCATATCACGTAGGTAGTCTCGCCTACCATTTCTAAGAGTTACAAGGTATAGTTGTCAACCACAACCCTTCAGATATGCAGAAATACTTGAAGGGCTTGGAGTCGTTTTAAAACAACGGGGGTGGGGGTGTCTACTAGAAGTAAATCAGAGCCTTCTCGATAGGCCCTCTCCCTCTTTCCTGTTAGATACAAGTCAAGTTCACCCACAGCCACCCCTGCTCCAAATAGCAGTAATGTAATAAAAGTTTATTTCAAATTAAAACCTCTCTTCTGTGATATTACCATAAAGTACAGATTAACTATCAAATCCAATTATGTTGATGCCACTTTTTTGCCAGTCTAACACAGTTGGCCCTAGCCTCATGTTCACTTTCTATTTGAAAAACTGTCTTATGTGTGGCTAATTCTGAAAAGAAATGAGTAAAGACAGTCCCTTGTTTCACAGTAGACGCCTCCAAAGCTTCCCCTCAACAGGCTATCCAACCAGAGCGCTAGTTTCCCACATGTCCTCCTTCTCCTGTGGAAGAGGCCAGTAACTGAAGCTGCAGCCAATTTTTGCAGTTATTAGAAATATCTAGTAATTCAAGATTAGCATTGCAAGATTCCACAAGCTCTTCTTACAGAGCTAGTGAGTCTGCCAGCATTATACTGAAAACAAGAATGAGACAACTTTTTAACTGTTCACTGAACTTTGGAAACTTTCAGACGTACTGGAATGACTTAAATACCGTAAAACTAAGAACAACAACAGAACTTGACATGTTAAGGTTCAAAGGTCTCGGCTATTTTCTGTTCCAAGTCCATTGGATACAACTGATGTCAGTACCTTTTGCCAACATGTAATCAAGAGCCTCATTTGAAAGAGTTGTCAGGGTTAACGCATGGATATGGAGAAATAAAGAAAAATAAAACCATGGTATCATTTTCTTCGTAGCCAAAACAATTTGGGCATAAATGTTATGAAGAAGCATACTTCCTTCTCAATGAGAAGCCCATCTCCAAGCCAAAAGATAATACTTTCAGGTGCTTAGAGCCAAAGTTCCTTTTAAAAAAGTGCCTTATGGCCTTGAGTCACTTGATCACATCTCAGTTTGCCCAAGATTTGACATTGCCCAGCTTTCTTGAAAGCGGGATAGAATAACCATTGTATAAGCACATAGGTCATACTTTAAAACAAATAAGCAGAGTGTAATCAACTGTTTCAAAAATCATCCCTCATTCAAGTCTAGTCTGAAGTACCAAGGCAGGGAGGAACACCAAACAATACTGACTAGCACACTGCACGGATCGGCAGCAGTGCTACGGGTCCCTGCTGACAGGCATTTGGAGGATACCTGTGCCTCCCAAGGTGATCTTTTCCTCAGAAGACCAGTGTCAATAAAACTTCACCTGTACATAGATACTGCATAAGGTTCATTCAAGTATTTCCTCTAGGAAATGGACAGTGGAAGGACACTTTCAAAGTTAAAAAAAGTTCATTGCATCCTGCTTGTGCTCATACGTGCTTTGATCGATAGGTCGGTCTTCCAGTCACTTCACTCTTTGACAGTTCTGGGGCTGATGTGCAGTTTAGCAGCGCAATTGGTGAGCTTCATCCCAGGTGATTCTTCCTTGTTAGAGGTTTCCTTCTCAAGCCATTCCTTTGGAATTTTTAATTTTAATGTTTTATTTATGAAATTACAGTTCACTATTATTTGACAAGCACTGGCATATTCTAGACAGATGTTTCAGATGCTTCCTCCTCAGTCTGCCAGCACGCCTCAGCTCAGATCTGTGTGTCCCGGTATTCCATCTGAAGTTTCTCATTAAGAACAACTAGTGGTTGCACCACTTTTTTGTGGTAACAACTTAACAATGGGCAACTTGGAGGAAAAAAAAAAGCAAACCCCTTTCTTTCATTCATGATCAAAGCAGGATTCAAATCCAGGTTTTCAGAGGTGAAAGGCTAGTGGAGTAACCGAACACATTTGATGCCCGAAACAGTCTCTTTGCAACAGTATAGCTACATTCCCAAACTAATTCCTCAATGAAATGCATAAAAGCAGAGCAGGTCCAGTGTATTAACTAGTCTTTTCTTTTCTACTTTGCTCAAGAACCATAAAATCCCACGAAGGAGCAGGCCTCCAAATTCAACTGTTATTTTACAAGTTTCTCAGATAAGCAAAGTTGTTGGGCTCAGAAACCAACTTAGAATGGGAAAAGGACACTGGAGTTTATTAGTCTGGGACTTGCTTTTGTTTTCAAAGAGAGAGGAGAAGCTGCAAAAACATGCTTTTCTCCTTGCTCTGTTAATTTGTTCATTATGCACTGACCTCTTTCAGAAAACCATTGTCAAACACGCTTCACGTTGCAGCCTTCACATTGCTTACTGTATTATATTCATTCATCAGTTGTTCATAAGGCACAGAAAGTTCTAGCTCGTTATTGGTAAAGGTAGATTCATCAGAGGACGGGAATTTTACCAGGTTTTTTGCAGTTTCAGATTCTTCAGCTAGATTATCATCCATGGAGGATTTTGACGTTTCCTCATCATCCGAGATATCTTCCTCTTCATCATCATCTTCATTTACAAATGTTATATTGGCATTCTCAAATATTAAGGGTCGATAGTCTCTGGAATCCCACACTTCGCCTTCTTCTTCGCTAATCCTGTCCAGCTGGTTTACAAACATGGTTCCTTCTAGAGGGCTGTCTCCAATACGTTTATCATGCAGGGGTCTCAGTACATGACCATTTTGAATGTCCAGGGAAACTTCATCATACTCAAATGATTCTGTCTTTGTGTAAGTCACCTGGACATCTATACTGGTATTCTGCATATTTTGTTTGGCATTTTCTACTTTAATCATTTTGTCATTGTTCGTCTTCAGGGCCTTCTTCCCAATTTGCTTAATAAGATCATTGTAGGTCTCTTCCTTCTTTGAAAGGAAGCTGAAGATGTTGACATCCTTTGAGGTACCCATTTGAAGGGGTTTTTTAGACCGAGGATGGTTGTCAAATGACTCTTTTCTTTTTTTCCTCCGTTTCTTGATTGCTTTGTGGACTTCCACAAACATACTGACCTTCCAGTTAACAAAAAGTGAAAGCCAAGCTAGTCCCAGATAGATCCATAACTCCACAAAATATCTGTAAAGGGCATGATAGTTTGCATCTGGATTTACACCTACAAAGAATTAAAAACAAGAACATTACTGAAAAAGGACTTGCAGCTGCTAAACCTTTGAAGTTATGACCTTGAGAACTACTCCCTTCCACAGTATCAGAGCCTAGTTGTTTGAACTCTGCTCTGTGGCAAGTGAGGATCCAAAACCCATCTGACAGAAAACGTTGATCCTAGGTCTTCCACTTCTTGGCTGCATGTATGCCGACCACTGGATTAACAACATAAAATGGAAGCATATTTAGCCTCTCCTTGTAGGCTATAAAAGTGAGCTTTTTTCCTCTTTGAAAATTATAAACCTTCTCCCTGCCACTGAGGTGTGGCTATAGGTACCTTCTTTGAGAAAACGATTCAGAATTCCACTTACAAGGACCATCTCCAAGGCCCTGAACAAGGCAGTGGATTTTAGAGAAAGACAGGATTTAGGAAGGAGATGCCAGTATGCTCAGCATTTCCTGTTGACTACTTCTAGTCACCAGCTGCACAGAGAGCATTGCTCAGTACTTATGCACCCTGCCTGGTATCCTGGGTCTCATTCAAAGGTGCTTAACCATCATGGTGGCTAGGATTGCCTGAAACGGGGACCTGGGGCACCTGAAAGAGTTATGAACTCCAGAACTTGGCTCCAGTCCAATAAAGACCTTCAGTGTCTAAACCAAGATTGAAGAGCCAGATCCAGTCCATTGGATCAATACCCAGCTTTAACTGAACCTTGCATTCAAGCAAAACGTTTTGGAAAAGCTTAGAAATCACTTTTTCAAATTAAGAGTTTGGGAATAGAATTGCTACACTATGCCTATAGTGAAATATTAAATAAAAATACAATTACTGACCAGCAACAAAATCTCCAAATCCTATGGTGGTGATAGTGATGAATGAGAAATAGAGGCCTTCAATGTAATCCCATCCTTCAGTCACCATAAAGACAAAGGGAGGAATAACCAGATGGACCAAAACACCCCAAACAATGAAAATAGCTGTGCATGTAATTTGTGCTTTCCTCTGTAAAGAAAGAAGAGAAAAAAAGTCAGGGAAAGATCTCCAAAATTTTCTTTTTCCACCCATGGCACCAAGTATCATCTGACAGTATCAGACATTTCAGAGTTTTGCGCTAACAGCCATAACTAAAAGTCACTGACTGAAGTAAACACACAACTATTTTTTTTTTTTTCCTTGATGCTGAACTCGCTATTCTTACAACTACTTGCTCAAACAGATTATTTCCTCATAGCTTTCTGTCATACTCTTGAAAAGTTTAAGGAGTTCCTGGTATTTTATAAATAGGCATGGGACGCAGACATAGCAGTCTAGCCAAAAAATCAGTCAATACCTCTGATTTTCCTTTTATTCATTCGAGTATAGAAGATCAGAAGCGTTTAAGAGGCTTCTCTCCTATTTATGCCTCCTACCCTTTGCCGCTCATGTAACCTCTGCACAAAGCTGCACACACACACACATTTCACCATCATTTTCTGTACTTTCTTCTCAGGTGCTGAACCAAGAAATTTCTTGCTCTGTTTGTGAAACCAGGACCTAAAGCAGTCCCACTGTCCTCCAGGCACTATGGTCCTGCATTCCCTCCCATCTCTGTGCAGAGTTAGAACTGAAATAGACCTCACTTGGGGGGGGACAAAAAAAAAAAAAAAAAAAAAATAAACCCCCCAAAACCCCAAAGAAACCACCACCAAAAAAAGAACAAAAAGCCACAAACAAAAAACCCACAAGCCAGTAACTCGGAACAAAACATTATTTTCCCATTGGTTCACTGCACAGCAGGAAGTATTCATGTTAGCATAGAAGCAGGTGGGAACAAAGCAGGACAGCTTATTTCTGTGCTAGAGGAGCTTGCATGGAATGTCCATGACATGGAGCCTCACCTACATTTGTCCTACAGGTTCTTAATGTAAAGCAATACTTATGTCTCCATAGAAGCTGCAAGATCTATATTTAGTATCAAAGGCTTCTACAAGACCTCATTTTGCTAAAACTTCTTGCAGAACTAACATAATCAGATCCAATCCCCCTTGCAGTTAGTTTTATGCAACACCATTTGGGAAAATTCGTATTTGTGCAAGTATTCATTTACTATCAAGATTAGCAGGTAAATTAGGAAGTGTAAGCTTAATTCATGCATCAAAAATACACAGCATGAGGGTAAACAAGAGAGGCCTTACCAGGCTTACTCCTCTTTTTGTCAGAAACTGGCCCAGCCTCTTGGCACGTCCTCCAAAGAACTTCCCCAGAGCACTGATCCATGTCAAGCAGAGAGGAACTCCAAAGAGCCCATAAAATATGCAGAAGAGACGCCCAGAGGGTGTCTTTGGAGAAACATTTCCGTAACCTAAAAGAGATAAAGTATGTGCACGGTCTGTGCTTGTTGCAGAGAATTCAAGGCAATTCTACCTAAGCACAAAACAACATTGCGTGGGCTTCTGCTGTATCAGACACTCCTTACTTCACCACCTATAGGAGCTTTAGTCTACTCCAGCTGCCGATCTTCCGAGTCTGGATACCTTCCAATTCTACTCTAGCAAATGTGTATTCCATTACTGCAGGCCGAGAGGATTACTGCATTTTAAGTGTTTCCTAGGTTTTTGTGCATCTTTTTCTTGACCAGATGATATAAGTATGAAATAAAGCTCACCTCAAAAGTCCTGATATGATTCTGTAACCTTACGCAGTGCTGTTAAAAATGTGACAATCGATTTTACAGATTAAAAGTTCAAAATTCATCCTGAAGCTAGCTTCCATGGAAAAGATCCACTGCACACATTCAACGTGGGACATGGTACCTTTCCAGGGTAAGAGTTTGCAAGTCAAGTGCAAGGGGACAGCAAGGGATTTCAACTGAACTTAGTTCTTTGCTGGCCACAGAACCCAACAGGGCATTATAAACTCAGGCTCTAAAATCAGCAGCCTATTTTCTGAACTTGTGCCAGAGCTTTCTTATTTAGGTGTGTTCCTGACTTCAGCTTTTTGTCATGTTATAATATAAGCTGGCTATTAATGAGTTTCAAATAATAAAGAAAACCACATATGGTTTAACAGTGAGACTTCCATTTCTATATACCTCCAGCCTTCTCTGATCATTTTGCATTCTTGGTTGTGGGGGGTTTTTTGGGGGTTTTTGGTTTTGGTTTTGGTTTTGGGGGGTGGGGGGGTGTTTCATTGTATAGCAAGGGTGTAGCAACACCGTGTAGCAAAGACTTCTCTATAAAACCAGACGGCAGATGATGTTGACCTCTGAAAATCTGTATATGAAAGGAGGAAGAAGTCTTTCAACACAGAGTTTTACAAGCACAAATCAGTACTGAGATTTAGAAGACAACACTTGTTCTACTTTGCCTTTAAGAGACAGATAAAAAGTCTAGATTGTTCTACAAGCCGAGAACACTGATCAGTCAATAGCTTAAGAGGATGCACGTGAGTAACAGGACAGCTATACAAAACTCTCATATGCACATGCTTTAAATGTTAGTTTAATTAAATGTTTTGTAACTCTTGTTTGGGGATTTTATGATCTGGAAGTTTAAGTGCACGAAATAATGGAACTGGAATGACAGTAGTCCTCCCCAACAGCACCTTCGATCTGTTACTTATTGGAAAGGCACACATTTTTGTTCTGTATACCCATGGAAGGAGTGCCAAAAACCTGGGTTTTTTCCTTTACAAACCTGTGGGTGAACATGTGCTGTAGGCAACACCAGCCATTGGAACTTTATTGGGTGTCTAGCTTGACGCACAAATGGAAGATCACAAACACACTAGAACATACAGAAAACTACAGTTAGGAAAGTTGTCGTAATAAATACTTACCAATGGTAGTGATCACAGTAGCAGCAAAAATCACAGCATTAGGCCAATTCCAGTTGTTGAAAGTATTGTTCCCAGTGATGGCAACCCCCTGTCCAGCAGCATTTGACACAACCTGAAGAAAACAGTTTACAGTCATTCTTGGAAAATCCTGGCAGCCTGAAAAAGAAATGTGTCTGTCCCTCTCAGGTTTTACCCTTTTATTCATACTTTCAAAATAATCATTCAGGTTTTTTGTGGAGGCTAGCCTAGTATATTCACTAACAGTAACTTTATGAACTATTAAAAACTGGCTTCACCTAAGAAAAAGTAGTGCAGGTGCTCTGACATTTAAATAGGGGATTTTAATTAGATAAGCTTTTACTTGATTTACCAGTTAATCCAAATGGATCTCTTCCAGAGACCAAAGACACTCCTCCAGACTGAACTAGTATTTAACCTCCAGTGCAGTTCTTGAATTTAGATTAATATTAGGGACATCTTCAGAACTACTACCCATTACAAAACACTGCTACATGCCTCAGCTTGACTTGGGTATGAGCAGGAGGTCATAGAATCTTTGGCAAGGCTAGTGTGATTAACGTTCATTCACCTGCTGTCCCTGGCAAAGTCAAACCATCTACAAGCCAACATAAAACTGTACTTTTCAGCAGAGATGGACTAATTAACACTTTTCCAAAGTATTTCATGTAACAGGACTCTAATCATTGCCCTTTAATCAGGCCCCCTTCTTATCCCATCTTTGAATATAGTATATCACAACGAACACAAATCACTTGTTTACAATGTTTTAGGGAAGTAAGCATAGTTATTGGCATTTCCACAAATTCAGCAAGTCAATTTTTCAACATCTGTTCAGGTCTTCGGGTGCTAAAGAATTATTAACCATCTTCACCTTTTATAGGAAGGGACTTGGAAGACCCAGCCTTCCCTGCCTTTCCAGAACTAGACCATACAAAATGCATTGATAAAAAACTTAATGACTATTTAATGCAGAAAGTCAAAGCTTCAGATCAAAGTCACGCATCTTGTCGATTCTGACATGTATTTCTACCTCCCTGAAGTAAAAGAGAAAAGTGATTTATCATACTCTCTCCTAGAAATCCCTAGTTATTTAAACCTCTGTTCTGTCACATCATGCTGCAGTTAAAGCCTTCTCAGGTTACTCTGCTTTTCTCCCTTCAGTGTAAACCAAGGTTGTCTGAACAAAACTCTGAGGCTACGTACACATACAGGAGAGGTGAAGGTATCTCCCAAAGTGGATTCATAACATTATCCCGCTTTCTGTGTTTCTCCCTCAATAAGTGTTGAACACAAAAAGTATCTTGAGCTAAATACCTAAAATTGGGGGCAATATACTTTTTTTTTTTTAAATAAATATGGTAGATGCGCTTTATCTTAAACTGGTAAGAACTTACAAAGGTACTTAAACCCAACTCTTCCTTCTCTCATCACCCCTTCCTTCCTTCCTACTTGATTAAGATCTGATCTTGGACCCAGCAGAGACTCAACACAAAGTTCAATTGCTACTGAAAACATCCACAAGTTAACACAGGTTTTAATTATTCTTGAGACTCATTACATATCACCACCCTCCTACTGTAATAAAAATGCCCTCAAAGTGAATGTATTGTGCATATACAAGATGCAAACAATTTAATTAAAAATGCACTTTCAACACACAAGCTATTACAGAAGATAAAAGGAGAGACATTGAAAGTGAATGAAAGCACAGAACCAGATTTTTCTCCTGGTAAACTCAATGTGTTTGACTGCGTGCAGTGTCTTTCCACAGCCTACAGGCTCTGGGTAGAAAAGGACAGAGAGGGACTTCTCACCAAGGCAGCCATTTGTCATAAGAAAGTCATGTTGATAAAAGAAATAGCCCTAAAATGGGCAGGTTGAGAGCAGGCAAGTGAACACACAATGCCGTCGCCTTCCAAAGAAATATTTGGGGCAGTTACAGCGGTTCACAAGAGTTCATCTGAGTAAAGACCAAAGTAACATCATTCGTTTCTGCTATGGTCTGCAGATGAACTTCCTAGGAGTCCCAAAGGACCTCCGGAGTTCCCGACAGGCACAATCTGTGATCTATTATCCCTGAAAAGATACCTTTGACTTCTTCCACTGCCCAGCAATACTGCACTAAATGTTTTAGCACACACCAGTTCTCCAGTCATTTTCCAGGCTATAAGTGCACTTGGACTTTTTTTTTTTTATTGATTTGTTATTTCCTCACAGAGCAACTGATCTCATAGAGACACACAAACTATCTGTTGCTGTTGTCATTGGGCCATCATCTCATTGCATTACACCACGTTCAGTCTGAGCTCATGAGCTCAGCTTCACAGTACGAACAGTTTCTTTAAGATCTGCCAGTGTTTTGAGGTCTGGAGGTGTGAGGGGGGCCCAGGCCCACGGGGAAGAAGCTGCTGGACTGAGTAGCACACAGCTGCCCTTCACACCCAGGCAGTTAACATTTTGGGGGAGAGGTGGCCAGCTCTGAATTCTATAAACACTTTATACAGAGAACTAGAGATGCTCTCCAGCCAAAGCTGCCCTATTTGCACACCGCTATCTGATATTAGCACAGTTATCTACCATCTACAGTCCAGTCTTTCAGGTTACTTTATGCCTGCGATAAACCGGAATGTGCATCGCTGTATCCCAGCTGCGGGAACAAAGATGGTCAAAAAACCCACGCTCAGATAGCTTTGGTGCAGTGGGAAATACGGAGCTGTTTTCCAAGCAGCGTAACTCCTGCCCATACTGAAATAATTAAATATCTTGGCTTCAACAAACAATGTGAGTGGACACTATAAAACTGAACAGCAAATACAGGGTTGTTTTTTTTTGCTTGGTAAATCTGTTATGCTATATCAGAGATGCCTTTATTGTCATGTGCTAGGATGCAGAATGCCCCAGGTTGCCAGTACTGGATTTTTTAAACTAAAGAAAATTTGGTCTAAAAATCCTTTGGATGGGAAAATAGGAAGCAAGGAGGGAGAGGAAGAGGGTAGATGGTGCGAGTGTTCTTAATATCTTGAAATATGTAATTTAGAAAATACCTTTTCAAGTATGCCCAAATTCCATCCCTTTAAACAGTTAACCAACTTGGACATCCCTTTAAACCTTTCCTCATGACAGTTTTTACTGTTAAAGGCAGGACTTTAGTTCCAGTCAAAGGACTTTTGCCTCGCAGGAATCAAGCCTCCTCTTCTCCCTCACTCCCCACCACCCCAATTCTGCACTTCAGCAAATGAAAAAGGAAAAGAACATCTAGAGTCTCTGGAGCGATTGCCCAAAGCAAACAGGCATGCAATTACAGAGAGAGATTTAAGACACATAAAACTAATACATCTGCTGATAACTCTAATGCGTAGAAACCAGGGTGCCATTTGAACACGATCAAGCAGGCGATTTGCTCCATTTGCAGATACTTTCCTACATACAAACCCAGCACTGCTCCAACACAGCCTTGTGTTTCCCGGGCTTGGTGACATTTTTATTAATCCTCTGATGACCAGGTTCACTCAAGGTTTACCAGATATCATAAGAACTAGTTTTTAAAATCTCTGTCTTGGGCAAAGGAGAAGGGTTTCTCTCCGACGCTTTGGGCACATGCCACGTGCATCCCCCTCATATGACTAACAGTAAGGCTCTTTAAAGTTCTCAAAACAAATTTGAAAATGGCAAGGAGAAGCCTTGACCCACATAGGTATTATGGATATGTTCCTACCTCTATTTATTCTACTTCTCCATTTTCTGCTGGGGGCAAGCCCAGAAGAACAACAGCAAAGTTTTCCCAAACTGGGAAGCCATGTACTAATACATTTATTCAAATTGTTTGGGTTTTTTTTTTGTTGTTGGGGGTTTTTTGTTTGTTTGTTTTTTCCCCTCTCTACTGGCCTGTGAAGGTTTGCTAGGGCAAGTCTCTGTGGTGGCTTAAAAGCTTGCAATAGCCAGCAGACCCATCTTTGCTGTCCTTGTCTTTATATTAGTGGGAGGGATGGTTAAGTTTGAAATTTGATCAATACCACTGCGAGGTAAAATGGATCAAAACAGAATGACATTTAGTCCCTGTAGTAGTAATGCAAGGGTGTAAAACTAAGCGAACAAACACATTGGAGACTAAGTGTTGAATATGCACTTTGGCTTCTTGGTCTTCAGAAGAAGGAAAAATGGGACATAAGCATCACCTTCTGCCTCTATAAGCATGAACAAGTGCACAAGGTTTTATTTTCTTTCTAGGAACAGAAGAAAATATTCTTGTACACCCTCCCTTCAGGTATTTCTATACATTGATGAGACCCCCCCTTCTCTTCAGGCTGAACAGTCCCAGCTCTCTCAGCCTTTCCTCACAGAAGGACTGCATCATCTTCCAGTCACTTGATAATCTTAGTGACTGCTGGACTCTCTCCAGCATGCCCCATGTCTCTCTTATATTGGGGAGCTCAGAACTGGACAGAGTACTCCAGGTGTGGCCTCACCAGTACAGAGTACAGAGGATCACCTCCCTCAAACTGGCAATGCTTTGCCTAATGCAGCCCAGGATACCTTTAGTCACCTTCACTCTAAGGGCACATTGCCGGCTCATGTTCAACTCGATGTCCACCAGGACCCCCCAAGTTCTTTTCTGCAAAGCTGCTTTCCAGCTGGGTGGCCCCCAGCGTGCATGGATCCACACATGATTAGTGATATTATTCTAAGAGTTAAGGACTGCAAGAAAGCTGTGATACAGGGTTTGCATATCAAGTAGGAATAATTTCATATTTGGCATGAAATCCTAGACATTTTAATAAGGATTAAATGGGTCTGATAACAACAAGCAATAAGAAAGAAAAAGGACTTCTGGGGTACTTACATCTAGATAGACAGATAGCCCAGACTAAAGACACAAGACGATAAACAGGCTACATAAACTAAAGCAACAGATCCTGCCCTGCAGGCACCCTATTACATACAAGAACAGCAACATACTGCTCAGTGCCAGGTCTCTTTTGAAGAGGACAAAGCCTCCCATGTTATTCAAAGTATTCCCTGGAGATCTGACCCATAAGTCTAATGGTAGTTTTAAGCTTCTCCCAGTGGTACAAACAATTCTCTTTTGCAACCGCTAAGTGTTTCTCCATAAGAAAG